CCATCTGCTTTCAACCAAAGCGTCCTTCGTTCCCTTCTGCTGTCTGATCATCATTTTTGACGTACGATAAGGAAGTGAACGTATCATCATCCATTTTCCGTGGATCTCTGGATGAGAGGTGGCTGGCGCTCATCGATTGTAATGAATGACGTCGTGTGCGAGCCGTACAACGATGCTGCTTGAACGATTGAATTAAGCGTTTCCTTCCTGATGTTGCCGAAGACACCCTTGTTAAAATGGAACACGCTCTTATCGATCTTCTTTCATCGCTGAATCTCTCCAGCTTGATCATGCAGAATGTTGCTCTCCTAACTCAAATAGAAGTGTTTGTTGACTGCATTGATCCTTTCCCCCTTTAGTATTGCCCAGACTTTCTACAGGGCATCCAAATGCGACATTTTTGTCTTTGACTCTTTGACCGACTGATTCGCAATTCGAATTCTGCTGTGTTTCTCACGAGCTGTTTGCCGTGTTTACCAGGTACAGCACCACGACATCAAAGAACTGTAAGCAACTGTGCTGTTCCCCATTTAAGTTGGTTAAAACATTCCAGTTTATCTCCCCGGAACACCGTTTGCAAATAGGCAGTGAAGAATTTCAAGGATATTGTGTCCCCCTGTTCCGTCCATTAATTTACGGGAATTCGAAGAGCGTGTTTAACAGCGTGATGTTTGTGAAGAAGCCAGAGTTTGCTTCCTTTAGCAGGCTGATGTAATCGGTGTAAATGCCATGTGCTTCAGGAGCAGTCCACACTATGCTGTGTTGGGCAGTGTCGCACGTTTTCTCTTTAGTCGACTATGCCCACAGATAAACGTAATCCTCTGGCTTGCTCGGTGAGTTGACGTAAAGAAAAATTTTATCCGGTGTGAGATATACATGTGCATCTTTCCAGACCGACTTATGTGCTACTTAAAACTTTAAGGTGAACACAGCGACAAGTCTCTAGAATAAAGGGCCATTTAAGCAATGACATATTGTGGCACGTCGTTGATTTAACGGTCTGTCACGGCACATGCATGGGTAAGAATTTTATGCAGAATACTATTCATTCATTGTGTAGCAGTACTCTCGAAATGTCGGTAGCGAATTTTATCAATTAGGCACTGAAATAAAAAGCAATATGCAACGAGAGTTTCTTGAGTTCTTCATGGTCAAGGACATAAAATACGTCATATGGTAAACAGTTTATTGTCAACGGGTTTCACTCTATAGACCGAGGCATCAACAGGACTGGACACCCCATATAGTTCTTTACTTCGCCTATGGGAGGGCATTTAAGCGGGCTACAGCTATATGGAATTTAATAGATTGCAGTACATAGGATGTTACACAGGATGTCTGCACCGTGTCAACGAAGTGGGGCCGAATATGATCATAGAAGAGAAACAACCAAAAGATAGACCCGGGAAAGTCAAAGCTTTTAGCAGGACAAAACTTTATCGAAAATCTATAATCTCAGTTTTAACACACGTTTTACAAAATCTTACTGACGTTATACAACAGTATCATAATCCTTTCAATATGGAATGGCCTTCAAGTTTATACTTTAATTTTCGCTTCCTGGTTTTCAGTGGATTTCACCGGTAGTTAATTTGTCATTTCATCATTTTTCCTGGCTTTAAGCGCACAAGTGCAGCTATAGTTTGTAATATGTACACAGATTTAATGTTTTTCTGGTTTCTTTCGCTAAAAATTGAGATTCTTAGGCGATTCGATTCAAGGAGACAACTTTCATTCATTTGTTAAGCAATTGTACAGACCCGTCCTTTTTCATACAAACCGATCTTTTTGATCATTCAAAAATGATGTACTGTAGTTTGCTTCGCTTTTGCAGCACGTGCTGCAGCGGTTTCGTTCCTGAGTTAAGCTTCATTTCTGAGTGCTGCTACGCTGTGATTGATGGCTTAAAATGAAAATGTTGATTTTATTTATTTAATGTGCAAATTAAGACTGTCTCCCTTTAACAAATGGGTCAACAAAAAATGATGATGATGAGATGTTTCTTTGAAATATTCGGCCGTGTAAGTAGTGCTAATATAACCACATGGAAAGATAATATTTATCTACCAAATGCACAAATCTGACCATTTAACTTCTGTGTGAAAGTCTTCAAAGTGAGTGGTCGTTGTGGTTACGAAGCAGCTAATTTTTTTGTTGTCTTTATGTAGCTTCTTCGAAAGCTTTTTCTTGATCGGGTGCATCTGCAGCGAATCCTATGCAGGAGTGTTCGACTGTGTTGAGTGTAATGTAGTTTTAGTTCTCTGCTATTGCCTGTCATTTCTCACTGTTCTTTATTATGTTATACATTTATTAATTTCACGGTTAGAAAATAAGTCGTTTATCAGTTTCGAGTGCTATAAAACTGTTTCTTTCCGTTTTCGTAAGAAGATGCCTTTTTTTGTATACCGAAAAATCGTGTTCCCTGATGAAGCCATTGGCTTATTCGCCCTCTCCGCTATTTATGTCTGTTCCTTCGTTCCGTTGATGCTGGAAGCGATCTGATTAAACAGTTCTTCTCTGATATTTCGTATTTTGCTGGAAACTAGAATGTCGTTGATGTTTCTCACGTGTTCAAGCACCACATGTGCGACGTGTTCGCCACATGCTAGAGTTAAGGCAGCAGAGTTCCTAACCAAATTGGAACGAAAGCTCCTTTTCGGCCATAGCCAAATTTTTTGATCATGCTTCTGTTCTAACATTATTAGATTTGTGTCTGTCCAGTTATAGAATAAACTTTAGGGTTGACGATTCCTAACTACTGAAGGTATAATTTTGAGCTTATGTTAAGTAAGTTCGCAGAGGAAGAAAAAACATGGTGTAAAATCTACAATTATTTTACATTAATTACCCTTTTATGTAACTTGACCGTCTTTCAAAATAAGTTATTTTGTTATTGACAGAAAATCTCGTACTTAGAACACGGTGTTAAGAAAACACTATCCTCTCAGTCATCTTCTGTTTCTCCATCTAGAAATGCATCCTGAAATGATTTCACCGAGTATTCCCCAGGAATTCATCCAGTATTCTCCACTGTCGATGATTCTCAGTTTTTCACTCTTGGTTAGTGAGAAATGCCTTTAAAAAATTAAATTTCATCTTTTATCTGCTGGTATTCATTACGTTGCCCCGCTTTCATTCAGTCATGAAGTTCACTATTAGAGTTAGCGAAGGAAGTGCGTAAAGGAACATTTACTACTGTTTCAGCAGTCATTGGCCCATTCATAGCAGTATACTTATAATAAAAGCATGCGGTAATGCGTTAAGGAAGAAAAAATGAAGACAGCGTAATGGGGTTAACAGATAGAAACTGATATGCTAATTAAAGATATTTAAATGCGTTGTTTAGCCACATATTTTTAAATCAGGTCCATTTAGCCTTTTCCGTATCTTTTTTGCCGAGCCCGAGTTATCTGTGGGATCTGAAGTTTTTTGTATTTTACCATTTCATAGTTCTGAACAGTCATTGCGGATATCTTAGCTTGTAGCGAGAACATGCACGGTCGCACTTCCACTTTGATTCTTGTTCTCCGCGAACTCCCTCCCCCCACTCCCCCCCACCCTCCAACCACCCGCCGTGTACGCCGAAATTCCTTTGTTGGACAACTTCCCATTATTACTGATACATAAGTTCCTTTGGTTCATATCCGTTTATTGTTTTTATCTAGTATGTTTTATGTAATGGCAGTGGCGCTTTTGGCTTTTCGGTCAAAGAGAATAACCGTTGATATGAAATGATCGTTTTGAAGCGAATATGTCTGAGCAGGAGCATTACCCTGTTGGGGAGCCTTCGCTGGATAGCCAGGAAACAGCCGTATTTTCCCAAAGGTCGTTTGGACGAGAACACTGGGCGTCAGCGGTTGTACGGCTGTTTCATGCTTGTAAGCTGTGATATGCCAGTGCATTTTCTCTCGTTGATAACTAATATTTTGCAGCTCATCCCTGTTACCACATTTGGGCTTGGCTGCTGGCAGGTATCTAGGCGTCGATGGAAGATAGATGTGATCAAGAAGTTAAAAGAACGAGTGAAAAGAGAGCCCGTTCCTCTCCCCCAGGAGTAAGTGATTCACTGCTGCTTAACGGAGGCAGAATTTACGAAATTTCGTGGATTCACTACAGCCAATAAGTAAACAGGTGACGGAATTAATTGAATGGTTTGAAAATGGGTCTTCTTACATCTGAAAAACGTAATTGCAGATGGATGCTTTATTCCTTGGTTTCACTGAGTGTTATACTTTTCTAGTAAATTCCATTAACTGACTGACTGATTGACGGATGGATCGACCGACCGACGGACTGACTGGCTTGCTGATGTTTGTTTTATTCGATGTACTTTATAAAACAGTGATATCAGCATTGGGAAACCATAACCAAATATTATAAGTTTCTTGGATTCCACGATGCAAAAACTGATTTTTCATGATTTTTTTCTCGAATGACTGACTTTTCCCTCTCTAAAGCGCCGCAAGTATTCCATGTAGGAACCTCAAAAACGGTGAGTTCCATATGTGCCGTTGTTTTTCCTTCTCGGCCTCATTCTCTTTTGAATTAACTGTATAATTTTTTTTTGTCAAACAGGTCTTTTAAACGTAATTTACTTTTTTTGCGGTGAGTATAGATACATGGTGCCATTTTCTCTTGCAGTCTGCGCCAGCTAAACGAAATGGACTATTGTCCGATAAGAGTAACCGGCGAGTTCGACCACAATAAAGAGATCATAATCGAAAACAGGCGTCGCGGCGACCCTAACTTATTGCGCATGGGCAAAAGCAAGGAGAGGGAGAGTGTACCGGATATGGGCGTTCAGATCGTCACACCGTTTGCCGTTTCTAACGGGTAGCCATTGGGCATCGGACTTTCGCGTCGTTCTAATATGTAGATTCAGATTTAAAATATTGGTCAATCGTGGATGGGTACCGATGTCAAAAATGGAACCTGAGACTCGGAAAGAGGGACAGGCAAGTAGTAATTCTTGATGATTTTGTAATATGGTTTTCCTAATTTAATTGATGTAATTTATCGATTGTATAGTTTAATCTTGCTGGAGGTCATTGAAAACTCGTTTTCTTAAAAAAGTTATAGAAAAAAAGTAGATATAAAATTAACTGCAAGAGTAATCACAGATATTAGTGTTAGAAACTGATGGGGTCAGGGAAATCTACTCCATCCCCGAAATGTCTTCTCTCAATAAGTAAGTAGCGTGTAATAAGATAAGCGGATTTTTTGGTTTCAGACTATTGTCGATTCATTAGTAGACCGTTTAACCCTGCTAAGAAGCCATGGTGATTAATCTAGGCGCTGTAGAAAAAATTTATCTGTAGGAAATATACATGTAACAGAAATGCATAATAAATGCACATTTGGTATGAAATGCGATTATTTAGCTCTAATATGTGCATCATTATTTTGTTTGTTACTCGATCTCTATGAATGGGTGCAAGATTGATTTCCTGGAGTCCGTTGTTCCCCTTCGAATATTGTTCAGCGTAGATTATCAGGTAGAATAGGTCGCTCCTTAACACTAGTAGATCTAAGGCATCATCTTGTCCAAAAACGGTTAATCGTATTCGACCATGTTGGTACAAAGCATAGGGTATGCAGATGTCTGCCCAGATATCGACGTCGAGGACAAACAAGTCACCTGCGAACGTTTCAGAGTGCAAGTCATGAAACATAAGGGCGCACTGCCGCATCTGCCCCTTCTCTGTAGGACTCTGCGCCAGGCACTAGTTTTCATGCCATTAAAATGACGGTCAGAGCTTCAGATATCATTCTAAGGTCTTTTCAATGCTATTTTGTCACAGATAGAAAGTCAATAGTGCCTCATACCGGCAGATAAAAGTTGTGCCCGTCGAATCTAGAAGGTACCATCCTTTATCCTTTCTGACGAAACTACATGCTATTATAGCTGTCTAGCTATGGGCTTTGCCTTCAGAACAGATATTCCCAAACTAGTACCATTGAAACGATTACCAACACAGTGAGTCATGAGTTCCTTACCGACGGACAGCTATGGATTATCTGGTTTTAGTAGTATACGGAAGATGGAGATCCCACCAGGTAGAAACTTTTTTTTGTTAGGCATGGCATTCATTTTTAATTAAGTTATAATCGTCAATATATAAATCAACATTAAAGTTTTTCTTCAGAAATTTCGATGGATGATAAGTTTTTATTTCATGACCACAATTTCGTGGTATATATGCAGGCAAATAACGTGTCTATATTAAATTACATACAATACCATGTTAAAAATAATTTTTTAAGGTGAAAGGAAAAATCGAGCTGGTGGGCATCAATCGACTTAGTGAAAAGGTTCGAATTTATGAAACTTTTTTGATTCTCGATGCCATGAAATGGCTTCAAGTTTTAGAAACCGTGGCTCGGCATGGAGAATAAACCGTTTCAGGGCCATTGGTATTACAGAAACGTTGAAATGATGGCTAGGTTTCTCGACACGGCGCCTGTGTATCTCGAGGAAACCATAGGTGATTGGCGAAAATGGGTTTTTTAAGCTGTACATTTCTTTTGCCATGTGTTTATTCTAGAAAGTTCGGTTCCTGGTGGACCCATTGGAAGTCAGACGAACGTCTTGCTGTTCAACCAACACTTAGCTTACATTATAACATGGTATGCTTTTAGGCGTAAACTTGTTGCTAACAGCGGCAAGTATGGTATGACATGAGTATTCCAGCAGATCTCAAGATTAAGAGATGACACTTACGATGATTTGGTTATGTGATCAGAGCATTAGACGAAAGATTCACAATTGGGACTTTCATGCCAATTCTGCTTTTACACTGAAAGCGATTAAGACGCAAACTGAGAATCAATTGGCTCGAATTACGCGCCTTGGAATTCAGTTCATATAGTTTACTCGATTGACGAAGGATCTTAGTCATTACTGCTTCCGACCCCATATCCCAAACGGAATAGCGA